GACCGAGAGGGCCACCAGGTCCCGCGGCCTGGAGCGATCGGCCCTGGGGGGCCCCAGCGAGCTGCCCAGGCCTGACCCAAGGGCGACGCGAAACCCAGAAGGTGACGAAATGCAGGGAGCGGGGTGAGCGTCGCGTCGTCGTTTGGAGGACGACGGGAGCAGGAGGAGCAGCAGCAGGAGAATGAGTTTGGCCTCGCAGGGTTACGCCTCGGGTCACCCTCCGCCTTCGCCTCCGACCTCGTCGCGCGGCCTCCCCTCCTCGACTTCCTCCCGTCCTGGGGCTGTAGTGGCGTGTCCTCTGACCGACCCCCCGCCAAGCCCCACTGGTCCTGCTGGAGTCGACGCCCGTTTTGCTCCTGCTACCCCTCCTGATCCTCCGCCCCCCCCTCCGCCGTGCTTCGAGCCGCGAAAGAGGGTGCGTATTTTGTTTGTTTCCCCTCTCTCTCTCTCTCTTTTTGTCTCTCTCTCTCTCTCTCTCTCTCTCTCTCGGAGGCCTCGCGAGCTCCCGCGGACCCTCCAGAGGCCCTCGCGGGCGCGGCCTCGGTGGCGACGGCGCGAGGCGTGAAGCGGGCCGCCGCGAGAGGCACCCCGCCATCGCTGGCGGACGCGGGCCTTCCCCTGCAGCCCCTGCCGAGGACGGGGGAGGTCCCGCCCCATTCGGCGAGAGGGCATGGTTTGCACATGTCTGGGGACGTTGTGGGATGTAGTAAGTGTGGAGGAGCATTCTCGGCCAGGTCGGCACGCACACAGCTCTTCTGGACTTGTGATCCCGAGGCTGCCCTTTGAGGGGGACCCCCAGCGTAAGTGGAGGAGGGACAATTTTATGAAGGGCGTCCACCCTAAGGGAGGCCGATCCCCCCCTCTCCCCCTCCCTCGCAGGCTGCTCGTCACGGACGATGCTGTCCAATGGCTAGGCCTGCTACACATATCATATATATGTCTCGAATTTTCCTTCGAAACTCGTTGTTTCGTGTCCTGGGATTTCGGCTTGGCCGATTCTGGGTTCTTTTCGTGGGACCTCCTGTCACTGCCGTGGTGCTTCGGCTGGGTTAACAGTGCCCTGTGGCCCGCTGGTTTTCTGTGCTGAGTTGCGCTCGCTCGTCTTTTCCCACCGCTCCTGCCCCTCCCGAATCGTACTCGGCGCGTCGTCCTATGGGCTCGCGGCTCCTCCCTCCTCCCCTCCTCTCCTCCTCCTCCTCCTCCTCCTCCTCCTCCTCCTCCTCCTCCTCCTCCTCCCCTCCTCCTCCTCCCTCCTCCTCCTCCTCCTCTCCTCCTCTCCTTCCTCCTCCTCCTCCTCCTCCTCCTCCTCCTCCTCCTCCTCCTCCTCCTCCTCCTCCTCCTCCTCCTCCTCCTCCTCCTCCTCCTCCTCCTCCTCCTCCTCCTCGGGTCGCCTAAGGCCCCGGGGGAAACCGTGCAGGCGGGCCTGTGGAACGCGGCCCCGCCTCCCGCGTGTCGTGCCCCTGCGGGCGTCTCTCGCGCGCGTGCGCGACCGCCTCTCCGCGGCTGCGGCCAGTGGCTCTGCCGACCCCACGGGGCGCTCGAGCGCTCAGGGCAAAGGCTGCTCCTCCTCCAGGAGGAGAGAACAGCGGTTCCTCCTCCCCTCCTCCTCCTCCTCCTCCTCCTCCCCTCCTCCTCCGCCTCCTCCTCTCCTCCTCCTCCTCCTCCTCCTCCTCCTTATCCTCCTTCTTTTCCCTCCTCCTCCTCTCCTCCTCCTCCTCCCCTCCTCCTCCTCCTCCTCTTCCCCCTCCTCTTCGTCCTCCTCTTCCTCCTCCTCTTCCTCCTCCTCCCCCCTCCTCCTCCTCCTCCTCCTCCTCCTCTTCTTCCTCCTCCTCCTCTCCTCCTCCTCCTCCTCCTCCTCCTCCTCCTCCTCCTCCTCCTCCTCCTCCTCCTCCTCCTCCTCCTCCTCTAGGTGCGTTTTTTTTATTCGGCGTTTCGACATTGGGAGGAAGGGGGGGGGAGGGGGAGGGTCTGGCTCCGGACCACTGCTTGGCGTGTCTGTTTGGAACCGTGCGTCCTCTGGCGGAGACTCCAGCTGCTCGAAACAGGCGCCCCAAAATAGCAGCCAAGATCTACTCCAGAAGGGGGGGAGGGGGGGGTGCGAGGGCTGGCGCCGATCGGCTAAACAATGGATCGACAAGCCCACTGGTGATCGTTTTTTTCTTCATTGTTTTGCTGGTCGGCGCGGACCCTCGCACCCTTCCTTCCCCCCCATGGAGTAGGTCTTGGCTGTTTTTGGGGCGCCTGTTTCGAGCAGGTGGAGTCTCCCCCAGAGGACGCACGGTTTCAAACAGACGCACTAAGCACTCAGCAGAGGTCTGGAGCCAGACCCCCCCCATTGCTCCCAATGTCGAAACGCCGAAGAAGAAAACGCTCACCAGGAGGAGCAGGAGAGCGGTTTCGCCGACAGAGACCTCGCGCAGTCTCTGGAGGAGCCCCAGGGACGCAGAAAAACGGGGTCGTCCTCTCTGACACTCGCGCGTAAGCTCCCAGCGTAAGGTCGCGCGTAAGCGTCCTCGTCTCCAGTGTAGCATGCCAGCATGCCGCGCTGGCGGCCCGCGTGAGCCGCGGCGCAAGGTCGCTACAGTCAAGACCCACGCCAAAAGACACCCTGTTTGCCTCCAGTTGCCCTGGGTTTCTTGGGTTTCGACGGTCCTGCTATGGACAGCTGGACAGCGTGACGTTCCGGGGTCTCAGGGTTGGGTTTCTTGTGGAGGATTTCTTGTGGTCAGGCCCCTACTGTTCGACCACAGCGGCAGAAGTTCGGGGGCTGCTGAGGAGGAAAAGGCACCCATACCGCTACCCTTTCCTCGTTTTCTCCCTTTTGTGCCTCCTCGGATACCCTCGTCGCCACCGCTGGATTCGCCTCGAAATTCTAGTCAGAACGCGCCCCGGGAGAGGTATGGGGCGTAGCGGTATCGCCAGAGGCCCAGAGATCTGACGCTCCGACAAAGGTGGGAGCCGCGGATTTGGGGCCGTTTCCGGCCTCCGGGGGCCCTCGCGGGGCCTCGGGGCCGTCAAGAAGCGGCTCGGGAGGAAACCGGCCCTCCTGGGGAAGAGACCTCCTTGGGGCAGACAAGGCGAGCACGTCCGCCCTACCTTTCTCTGGGGCAGCAATTTCCGCCCTGCTGTTTCGACCTCTGAGAGATGGGTTTCCGACGCAATTACAGTCGGGGCGCTGAAGAAGGAACCCTTTTTGTTGGGGAGGGGCTCGGTGTTCCTTGATTGTTTAACAGTTGGCCTCAGGTCTTCCCGAGGTTTTCCATGGGACATCGATGTTGAACCTATGAGAAAAAGGGGCCTCGTTCCTTGTTTCGGGTTCCTTAGGTCAACGCCCCGACTGTATGAGTTGGGAGACAAGCCCAGAAGGAGGGCGGATCCGGAGTCCCGCTCCGGTGACGCGCTGCAGACCCCCGGGGCCAGCGCGTCGAAGAACAATGGAGCGGCCGGATATGGCCTGACGTCGGGCCTGTCCCCCTACAGGAGGAAGATCCAAAAACAGCCCAAAAATAGTCAGGGGACGATTGTTTTTTTTGCATGTTTGAGCCACGTTTGCTTTTTGGCTACATACATTTATCTATATATATGTATATACATATATATATATATGTATATATATATATATAGAGATATATATGTATATATGTATATATGTATATATGTATATATAAACATATATATATATACATATATATATGTGGTTTTAAATTACAAAGGAAAACCTCTAATTTGAATTGTTTCGCCCAAAATCCCCCTGTAGGGGGACAGGCCCGACCATACGGGCTATGGCCGGATGCAGGAGCGGGCGGGGAGCGGCAGGCCGCCCCCCGGGGGGCCGGGAGGCATGCTCCGAGAGGGCGGAGGCGGGGAGGGAGGAGGAGAGGCAGCGGACGCCCTGACTCCAGATCCGCCTGGCCTCCGGGCCCCCCCCCCCCTCCTCCTCCTCCTCCTCCTCCTCCTCCTCCTCCTCCTCCTCCTCCTCCTCCTCCTCCTCCTCCTCCTTTCTCCTCCTCCTCCTCCTCCTCCTCCTCCTCCTCCGCTCCCTCCTCCTCTCCCTCCTCCTTGCTCCTCCTCCTGATGCCGGTGCTCCCCTGGACCTCCCTGACTCCAGATCCGCCCTACTTTCTGGCTTTTTTCCAACTGAAAATTGCGTCGGAAATCCACCTATAAGAAGCCGAACAAGTAGGGCGGAAATTTCTGCACCCAGCATAAAAGTAGGGCGGAGATCCACGGAAGTAGGGCGGAAACAGCAGCAGAAAACTAGGGCGGAAATTGGCATCAGCGGGGCTTGAAAAGTGAGGCAGAAATTCCAAGCCCTACTTACGAATTTCCCCAAAGCAGGGCGGATCCGGAGTCAGGGTGAGGGCGGATCGGGGGTTGCATTAGGTGCCCCTTGCCCAAGATGCCTCCAGCATTTCGCTCCATCAGAGGCGACGACAGGGGCGAATAGTCCAGGGGAGAGCAGTGCATGTACCCAGGGGCGCCGATGATCGATGTCTTCGGCAAGGCTCCCGGGCGAATGCGTGTAACGCCGGCCCCTGGGATTCGCCCCTATCGTCGCCACCGATTTAAGTGGGGCCTGTCACCCTACAGGGGGATTGGGGGCGACAAAGAACAAAAAGTAGTCAACAATACCCCCAAGATGGCTCAAGAATGCTCCGAGAATCGTCTCCAGATTTTTTTTATGACTATTTTTGAACATTCCCCCTATAGAGGGACAGGCCCCCCTTAAGGGTTGCAGAAGGTGCCCCTTGCCCAGGATGCCTCCAGCTTTTGGCTCAATGTTGGAGCCCTCGGGGCCCTCTGGACCTCGTGAGGGGGTGCTCTGGAGGCCGTGGGGGCCTCCTTGGAAATCCTGGAGGCACCTTGGGCCAGGTGCGCTTCTAGCAACACCCGAGGGAAGGGGAACGAGAATATGAGAGAAAGGAGCAGGATATCGCGATGAGAATATCTTGTTTCGAGCCTTGCCAACCATGACCGAGGTGGAACGGGTGCGCGTCCATAGCAAGGTGGGCTCAAGCCTTGCTGGCTGAAGTCACTCTGGTCGAAGCTATATTTGCTGCACCCAGCCAATGGAATATTACGAAGAAAACTCGACCAGGAAGGTGAAGAGCAGCTGCCCATACGATGTCATTTACATATCGGCAGTCGGCGTGTGTGCGTGTGCGCTTGGATGCCTCAAGATGGCGGACTTGCTCGATCTGAGTTGGTACCCTATCGCCGGCTGCTGTGTAGTGTTGGTCACGCATTTGAGCTCGTACGTCGTCGACGTTCCGAGGCCCTCCTGGCTTTCCTCGGTGTTCATACTCGTGGACTGCATGGTGGTAGCGTGCTTCAACAGAAGGTTCCAGCATATGGCCTACGAGGCTACAAGTGGTAGCCTCGGTGCCACTCCGCGTTTTAACGTAGACTGCTGCCCAGGTTGCCACGCCACTTCAACAGTCCAGACAACATTCATTATGTACCTGATGCTGTCCTACCTGTCAACATTCTTGCTGCCGTGGAAGTACGCTATCATCGTTGTGCTGGGAGTGGCTTCGACCTACCTGTCTTTGATGTTGAGCTCCTTGGCATTCGCACCATCACACGATTCGACACCCGAGACAGTGGTATGGCTGTTGCTGGAGTGCGTCCTTTTGATGGCCGGCTGCGCGATGACTCTGCTGACTCACGGGGCTCTCGAGCGCTCAGAGCAGAAGTTGCGCCTTCTCCAGGAGGAGCAGAAGAGCGGCTTCACCGACATAGACCTCGCGCCTCTGGAGGACCCCCAGGTGAGCGACGCGGAAAAACGGGGTCGTCTTCACCGACACTCGCGCGTAAGCTCCCAGCGTAAGGTCGCGCGTAAGCGCCCTCGTGTCCAGTGTAGCGTGCCGCGCTGGCGGCCCGCGTGAGCCGCGGCGCAAGGTCGCTACAGTGGAGGCCCATGCCAAGAGACACCCTGCTTGCCTCCAGGGTGCCCTGGGTTTCTTGGGTTTCGACGGTCCTGCTATGGACAGCGTGACGTTCCCACACCAAGAATCAGTTAGCGTCCTATGGGTTTCTTGTGGAGGGTTTCTTGTGGTCGGGCCCCTACTGTACCACCACAGCGGCAGAAGTTCGGGGGCTGCTATAGATCAGAGGAGGAAAAGGCACCCATACAGCTACCCTTTTTTCGTTTTCCCCCTTTGGGGCCTCCTCGGATGCCCTCGTGGCCACCGCTGGATTCGCCTCGAAATTCTTCACGCTTCGCGTATCCCCACCAGCCCATCTCAAAACAGCAACTCTAGCGAAGCATGCCGACAGTCGTGTTTTTCAGGCGTGTTTCCGCCTGCCCCCGCATATCTCCCCTGTTCCTCCTTCCTCCCGCCTCCTTGTACATCCTCCTTGTGGTGGGAGCGGGAGAAGGACGAGGCGGAGGAGGAGGGAGAGAAAGCGCTCCTCGTGGTTTGAGTCGTTCGGGCTTCTCGTCCTGGTGTGAGTCGTTCGGGCCCTTCTTCCTGGTGTGAGTCGTTCGGGCTCTTCGTGGTGTGAGTCGTTCGGGCTCTTCGTCCTGGTGTGAGTCGTTCGGGCTTCTCGTGGTGTGAGTTGTTCGGGCCCCTCGTCCTGGTGTGAGTCGTTCGGGCCCCTCCTCCTGCCCGTCCAGAAACGACGCCCAGGCGAGTAGAGGGTCGTCCTGATGGGCTTTTCGGCGTCTTGGGTGCCTCGGGGGGGCCTCTTTGGGCCGTTTGGGATCCTCTTGGGGGCCTCCTGGGGGCCTCTTGGGGCCATCTTGGGGCCTCTTGGTGCCTCCTGGGCGCTTCTTGGGGCCATCTTGGAGGAAATCGATCAAAGAAGAGGGGAGCTTTAATTAGCGCTGCCCCCTCAGAAGGCCAAAATGGGGCCAAAACCTTAGTAAAATCAATGATTTTGGCTTCAAAGAAGAGGGGAACTTTAATTAGCGCTGCCCCCTCAGAAGGCCAAAATGGGGCCAAAACCGTAGTAAAGTCAATGGTTTTGGCTTCAAAGAAGAGGGGAGGGTTTTTTCTCCCCCCCCCCCGTCGGGGCCAGAATCCTCGTGAGGGGTGTCGTTTTTTAGTCCTCCCAGGAGTCGAAAAAGACCCCTCCAACCACCCGCGAAAGGACCTCTCCAGGTCCAGGGGGAGGGGGGAGGGGGAGGGGTAAACCCCTCCCCGAAGGGGAAGAAGGGGGGGTGAGAACAGAGCGGGCTCTCTAAACCACTCACGCCCAAAGGGCTGGTGGGATTCTGGTCACAACGCGCCCCAGGAGAGGTCCCGGGAGTAGCGGTGTTGGTACCTCTTGGCTTCCTCAACAGAGGCCCAGAGTTTCAACGCTCCTACAAACTTGTGGGCGGCGGAGTTTGGGGCCGTTTCCGGCCTCCGGGGGCCCTCGCGGGGCCTCGGGGCCGTCAAGAAGCGGCTCAGGAGGAAGCACCGGCCCTGGGGAAGTGCCCCAGACCACCTTGGTTGGGGCAGACAAGGCGAGCAGACCCGCCCTCCAGTTACTTCTCTGGGGCAGAAGCTTCCGCCCTGCTTCTTCGACCTCTTGGAGATGCATTTCCGACGCACTCGTGAGTTGGAAGAAAAGCCAAGCAGCTCCGGAGTCTGGCCCCCGGGAAGTGCTCGCTGACCTCCCCAGACATCCGACGACTCGATTTTTCCGAGACGCGGGCCCCCGACTTCCCGACCACTTCCCCGGGACCAGTTTTTCATTCCGAGTCGTTTTTTGACGCTCCCGAGGCCCGGCGAGGGCCCCGAGAGGCCCAAAACTATGAAAGACCTCTGTCTCGATTTTTTCGAGACGCCCGAGGTCTGGGTCCTGGGCCAGCGCATGGAAGAACACAGGGCAGCGGGACAGAGGCGGAGGCAGAAGTGAAGGGGCCCCAGGACACAGATAAACACACACACAAATAAAGATATTCCCCTATATTTCCCACATATGTTCTAGGTTTTTGTCTTCCCCCCCACTTCCCATATTCTATAGGCTTACGCCACATCCGCCGACCCCTTATATAAACTACTGCGTCTCCAGGACTGCATTTCACGAGGCTTGTTCGAATCATGACACGGCGCTCGACATCGTTCCTGTTGCTTCGTTGCTGTTATCGTATCTCTTGGTGCTCTTTTGCGGCCTTTTGGTGGCATCTTGGCCTGTCTGCAGGCCATATCCGGCCGCCTCGAGGCATCTTGGGCCAAGTTTGGGGGCCTCTTGGGGGCTTCCTGGGGGCTTCTTGGAGGCCTTTGAGGTTCTCTCGGGGGTCCCTCAGGGCCTCTTGGGTTGTTCTTGGAGCGCTGGGGGCGTCTTCGGGCCGAAGGCTCGAAAAGGTGCCCTGCGGGCTCCGTCTTGGAGCCGTCTGGGGGCCTTCTTCGGTTGTCTTGGGGGCTACGGGGGCTGTTCTTGGACCCTGTTCGACCCTTCTTGGGGGCCCCTTTGGCCGTCCGGGGGCGATATTGAATGTTTCTCTGCCCGTCTGGGACGTTGTGAAAACCGAATAGGCGAGCATGCGAAAAATGATTGTTTTTCCAAGGGGATGGGCCGATTTTCTGTTTCCTGGGACTTTCTTGGGGCGCATCTTGGGTCCTTTTGGGGCGTCTTGGCAGCCTCGGAGGCCGCCTGAAGGCCATCGTGGGCGTCCCGGGCGATATTTCGGCGAACCGTGGCCCCCTAGGACCGTCAGGGGAGCGTTTTGGTGTCTTCTTGGCCAGTTTGGGAGCCCTCCGCTCCCCCCTGACGCGCTCTGTCCGGGCTCGGGCTGGGCGAGGACGAGGGCGTCGAATTGCCGGTTCGGGGTCCCTGGGGGGGATTTTGGGGGGGGATAATCTCACACGCGCGCAGCAGACCGACGGATGTGCCGGGGTCGTGGGTGAACAGCGCACCGTTGTGCGGGAACGCGCGGTGTCTCGAAGACAAAGAGGCAATTGCGCAGCAAAACGGGCTAGAATGTGAGGCTTGCAAAGTTGAGCGGGAGAAGAGGAAGCTCGTCGCGACGTCGCCAGAAGACGCGCGGTTTCGGGAGGCAAAATTCCTGGAAGCTGTCGCCATTTATGCGAATCAGGACATTCGTTGCCACGTCGGGAAGCAGAGAGCTGTGCAGTGGGCCAAGGAGCGAGGAGAACGGCTACTCTGGGTCGCAGCCAGGGACCGCCCGTGCCATGGGGGGGAACAGAGGCTGCCGTACACGGTGGAGGATAAGGTACGTTGGCTGGGGTACCACGAGAAGGAGTGCGCAAGCTTGCCCGGGTGGCTGCCGCTGGCCAAGGGGATGCTCGTGGCGTTGGGAGATCACTTGGATCGGTCAACGAAGAAGCTCCTGCGGGGGCGCACAGCGACGATCCATGGATGGGCGTTGCACGAGGACGAGGTCGTTGGAGATGAAGACGAGGAAGTGTTGTTGCATCTGCCGAGAGTGATTGTGTTGGACTTCCATACGAAGGAGTGGCGCCTGCCAGGGTGGGAGCCGGGGCTGTATCCGATCTTCCCATCGAAAGGGCGGCAATGGTTCTTGGACTGGTATCGGAAGCATCCAGTATTGAGTGTCAAGCGAACGCAGTTTATGATAACCCCGTCGTTGGCAGTGACGGCGCACTCAGCGCAGGGCCGGAACATGGGGGCAATGATAGCGGACCTGGAAAGAGGGCGCGGCGTGAGTTGGATGTCTAGTTGCGTTGCCATCACGCGCGTGCGCAGGCGAGAGAACCTGCTGATCTTCTGGCCTTCTGATAGGAAACCGTACAACACAGGTGAGATGGCGGGCGCGAAAAAACTGTTGCAGGTGCTACGAGGGGAGAGCGTGGATTGGGATGAATGGGAAGCGGAACTAATGCCACGAGACCATTGCGAGCGCTGCCGCCAGACGTTGCTTGTAGAGGCGTTCACGAAGTACGAATTCCAGCGGAAGGAAAGGCCCGCGTTCTGCAAAGAGTGCACGGAAGAGATGAAAAAAACGCCACCGAAAAATGGTGCACAACGCGCAAAGGGTGGGCGACGAGAGCGGAGGGGGAAGATGCGGCGCGGCATGGTAGCGGTCGGGGCGCGGACGCAGCGGCCGGCGACGGGGAGACGAAAAGGATTCGAACAATGTACTGCGCGAAGTGCGGTCATGTCAAAGCGGTGAAGAACTCGCGGAGCGGCAACGCGAAGTGGAGCGTCAGCGCCGGCGCTGTGCGACGTTCGAACGAGAAGTGCCTGTCGCTGTACGAAGAGAAGGCGGACATGTCGGATGCACAGAAGAAGCACCATGCAGCGGGGGTGAGGCTGCGTAGGAAATGCGCGGAGGAACGTGACAAGGCGACGCGCGAGTCGAATAATAGGAAGCGTGAAGAAGAGGCGGTGGCGAAGCCGCTGACGTGCTGCGCGCCAGGATGCGGGGTGAGTTTTTGGGAGACGGGACATTTGAATCGCAACCAGGTGGAGGACCATAGGGCGAAGAAAGGAGCGAGAGTGGCGTGCGAGGACTGCAGTAGGCGCGACATAACCGCGAAAGGGGTCGTCGATGAGTCGAAGCGGTTGAAACGGCTGCTGACGTGTGCGGCGTGCAAGAAAGTGCTCGCTCGGCAGCAACGCATCAGCGACTATCGAGAGAGTAAGCACTTCACGAGGAAGAGTAAAGTTGCACGCGCAGGTTGCATTGCCAACGAGTTCACGGCGCGCAGCTGCAAGCTTGCAAGCCTTTCAGTGCAGTGGCAAGTGCCAGAGGAAATTACCGAAGTCGGTTTCCTCCGTGGACGCGAGCCATGTCGCGCGTGACGAGAAGAAGGGCACCTTGACATGCAAGGCATGCAAATTATACCAGTAGGGCGCCCGTGCCATGGCCAGTAGAAGTAGGAGCAGCGGGGGTCCGAGCGAGAGGGAGGACGGGGCCGATGAAAAGAGGAACGCGAAGGAGGTGAAAGCAGGAGGAGGAGGAGGAGGAGGAGGAGGAGGAGGAGGAGGAGGAGGAGGAGGGAGGAGAAAAGGAGGAGGAAGAGGGAGGAGAGAAGGAGCAAGGGGGAAATGGGGAGAGGCGGAAGGGGGGGTCAGGCTGCAAGTGCCCGAGGAAATTGCCGAAGTCGGCTTTCTCCGTGGACGCGTGCCGTGTCGCGCGTGACGGGAAGAAGGGCACCTTGAAATGCAAGGCATGCAGATGATACCAGTAGGGCGCCCGTGCCATGGCCAGTAGAAGTAGGAGCAGCGGGGGTCCGAGCGAGAGGGACGACGAGGCCGATGAAAAGAGGAACGCGAAGAAGGTGAAAGCAGAGGAGGAGGAGGAGGAGGAGGAGGAGGAGGAGGAGGAGGAGGAGGAGGGGGAAGGAGAGGAGGAGGAGGAGGAGGGAAGGAGGAGGGGAAGGAAGGAGGAGGAGGGATGGGGGAGAGGCGGAAGGGGGGGTCTGGCTTTTCGCGAGGCTCGCGGAGGCAATTTCGAAGCCTCTTGGAGGCCGTTTTGGGGCCTCTTGGAGCCTCTTTTGGACTTTCTGGGGGCCTCTTGGAGCCTTGTGGGCGCCTCTTGGGGGCCTCTTGGGTTTTTTTGTGATCCTCTTGGGGGCCTCCTGGGGGCTTCGTGGGGCCTCCTGGGACACTGTCGGAGCGAATGGTTCGGATTTTCGGTTCGTGGTCCCCCTTTGGGGGCCGTCTTGGGGCCCTATTGGACCGTCTTGGGCTGGGCCGTCGTGGCGCCCTCTTGGGCCGTTTGGGGGACCTCTGGGGAGCCTCTTGGGCCATCTTGGGGCGGTATTCGGGGCTTCTTGGCCAGTCTTCAACGCCGTCAAAGCTGAAAAGCCGTATATGTTAGGAATATACGTTTCCCAATCGGAAATCGATGGTTTTGGCCTCTTGGGGCCCTCTTGGGACGCCTCTTGGGCGCTTCTTGGGGCCTTTTGGAGGCGTCTGGGAGCGTCTTGGAGGCATCTTGGGCCGTCTGGATGTCATCTTGGACGTCTTGGCTTGATCTTTCTTTCGGCGACTCGTGGATCTTTTGGGCCGTCTGGAAGGCGTCAAAGTGCCCTCTTGGCCCGTTTTGGGGCCCTCTGCTCCCCCATGGCGCGCTCTGTCCGGGGCCGTCCGGGGCCGGGGGGGGGGGGTCGAATCTCTGGTTTGGGGTCCCTGGGGGGGGTTATGGGGGGGAACTATCTCACACGCCTAGAGACCCACAAGGGGTCGGCGGATTTTCTTATATTTTCTTGGGAATCGACGATTGGTTGTGTCTGTGTGGTTTCTCCTCTCCTGGAGCGGCAGGCCGCCCCCGCGCGGGGGCGGGGAGGCCTCCTCCGCCCCATGCCGCCTCCCCGTGGCCGGGCCCCTGCCGTAATGGAGGAGGGGGTCGTGCTCACGTGGCGGCGCCCGGGATGACGATTAGAAAAGACCGGCCGCGGGCTGGACGATTATTTGTTTAATCGTTCTCCTCCAGTCAGAAAGTTGTCCAGAAATAGCAGAAAACTATGTTTTTGATCGTTCTCTCCCATTTTCTTATTAATCGTCATCCCGCATTATGCCCTCTCGCGCAGGAGCTCCCCCTCTCTTGAGCTGAGGGGCCCGTCTGCCACAGCCACCACCACCGTACCCAGACCCCCTCGGGCAATGAAAGAATCATGACGGAAGGCTTTTCGCCATTTTCGGCCTTTGGGGGCCCTCACCAGGCCTCGGGAGCGTCAAAAAACGACTCAGGATGACAAACCGGTCCTGGGGAAGGGGTCGAGAACTCTGGGGTCGACGAAATGAAAAAAACATTACGTCGGGGGTCTGGGTAAGCTGGAGGGGGAGGGGGTCCTCCTCCTCCTCCTCCTCCTCCTCCTCCTCCTCCTCCTCCTCCTCCTTCTTCTTCCCCCCTCCAGCTTATGGTGGTGGTGGTGGCTGGAAAACATGCCCCTCATGATCGTCGGAAGTCTCGACCCATTCCCCAGGACGAGTTTTTCATACCGAGTCGTTGTTTGACGGTCCCGAGGCCCGGCGAGGGCCCCTGGGGGCCGAAATCTGCGAGAAACCTCCGTCTTGATTCCTCCAGCGCGCTGGGTCTCTGGGGTATGTATGCCCTCTCCCGCAGGAGCCCCTCCCTCGCCCGCCGCCCAGGTGATCTCGCACTGGACGAGGCGCTCCCTGCGGGAGGCGCCGCCGCCCGTGGGCCTCTCCCTCGCGGAGGGCCCCGAGCACAGCCAGGCTCCGAGCTCCTTCTCGTCTTCCGTCCTTCTCTTCCTCCTCGTCTCCTCCACTTCCGCTTCAACTGCGACCGCTCGGCTGGTCTGCGGCCTTCTCCGGTGTGCGGTCCGCCGTTGCTGGCATTCGTCGCGCATCATTCCCCTCAGCTTTCCTCCTTCTCCTCAAAAAACAGCCAGGACTCCAAGCACAGCCTCGGCGCCCCCAGCGGCGAGGCGGAGGGGGCGCCCGCCGCGCGGCGCGGCGAGTGCGAGGGCCGGCAGGCCTGCGGCAAGGTGGACTGCCTGCCCCGGGAGGCCGTCGTGTGGGTGGAGGGGGAGGATCGGGGGGCGGCCCAAGAGGGGGGGTCCCCAGACCCCCTCGAGCGATGAAAAAATCATGGCGGGAGGATTTTCGCCATTTTCGGCCTCTGGGGGCCCTCACCGGGCCTCGGGAGCGTCAAAAAACGACTCGGGATGGCAAACCGGTCCCAGGGAAGTGGTCGGGAGGTCAGGGGCCCGCGTCTCGAAAAAATCGAGACGTCGGACGTCTGGGAAGTCCGGAGGGGCTTCCAAAAGGTTTTTTTTGGGGGGGGGGGAAAGGGGGTGTTCCAGGATGGGGTCCCCCAGGGGCTTCGCGCCCCCCGGCTTGGAGGACGAGGTTCCGAGGCCCCTGGGGGGCTGTCTGGAAGACGCCCTCCCCGAAAGCCCCCTTCTGGAGCCCTCCGGGAAGCGAGGACCGCAAGCATTCGGACTTCGAGGGGTGCGGTCTCCGGGCGCTGTCGCGGTTTCTCGGCGGCCTGCCTCCAGCGGCCGCGCCTCGCCGAGAGCGCTTCGGGGCTGCCCGGGTCGCCCTGGACGGCCGCTGGAGACCCGAGCTGTGACCCGAACGCTGAACTCGGGGGCGGGCGAGGGCGGGAAGTCAGAAGGACCGAGCATTTTTTCCCCAAACAGCTTGCTGAACGGGGTGCTGTTGTGATAGAAGCTAACTCCGGCTGAGGGAAAGCTAAGCAGAGACATCCTCAAACAAATGTGGTGGTCCGGCCCGTTTCGCCTGAGACATCCTCACAACTCTCGTTTCTGAGTTGTCCGGGATTGAGCGTTTCGCCTGAGACATCCTCCTAAATCTGAGCTCTGAGAGGCCGCGCGAGAGGTGGTCCGGCCCGTTTCGCCTGAGACATCCTCAAAAAGTTGCGCTCCGGGACGCCGCGCGAGAGGTGGTCCGGGCCGTTTCGCTTGAGACATCCTCGAAACTCTGAGCCCCGAGGTGCCGTGCGAGAGGTGGTCCGGGCCGTTTCGCCTGAGACATCCTCCTAAATCTGAGCTCTGAGAGGCCGCGCGAGAGGTGGTCCGGCCCGTTTCGCCTGAGACATCCTCGAAACTCTGAGCTCGATGCCGCGCGAGAGGTGGTCCGCCGTTTCGCCTGAGACATCCTCGAAACTCTGAGCCCCGCCGTGCGAGAGGTGGTCCGGGCCGTTTCGCCTGAGACATCCTCGAAACTCTGACTTCGCGAGATGCCGCGCGAGAGGTGGTCCGGCCCGTTGCGCTTGAGACATCCTCGAACTTCGAAGCTCTGAGATGCCCTGCGCGAGGTGGTCCGGCCCGTCTCGCCTGAGACATCCTTGCAACTCTGAGCTCTGAGATGCCGTGCGCAAGGTGGTCCGGTCTGTTTCGCACAAGACATTCTCGCAACTCTGAGCTCTCAGATGCTGCGCGAGAGGTGGTCCAGCCTGGGCGCCCAGAAGACCACATGTGACATATCCTCCATGGGACCCTGCGAGCCTCAGGAGGCCCCAGAGAGGTCCAGGAGGCCGCAGGACGCCCAGGACAGGCCCCAGGGGCCCCCAGGAGATTCCCAGGAGGCTCCCAGGAGGCCCCAGGAGGCCCTCTATCAGAACGTGTCAAGTTAATACACATCCAGTGTCGATTCGTTGATTTTTCCTGCTCTTGTGCCCCCCCCTCCATTTTGAGGGGCCCAAGCGGCCACAGGTTAGATATCCCCCCTGGGAGCCCCAAGAGCTTCAGGAAACCTCAGGTGGAGTTCAGGAGGCCACAGGAGGCCCAGGAGGAAGCTCCAGGAGGTCACCAGGAGGCCCCAGGAGGCACCAGGAGGCCGCAGGACGCCCAGGACAGGCCCCAGGGGTCCCAGGAGGCACCAGGAGGCCGCAGGATTCCCAGGAGGCTCCCAGGAGGCCCCAGAGGCTGCCTATCAGAACGTGTCAAGTTAATACACATCCGGTGTCGATTCGTTGATTTTTCCTGCTCTTGTGCCCCCCCCTCCACTTGGAGAGGCCCAAATGGCCACAGGTTAGATATCCCGGCTGGGAGCCCCAAGAGCCTTCAGGAAGCCCCAGGTGGGGTCCAGGAGGCCACAGGAGGCCCAGGAGGAAGCCCCAGGAGGTCCCCAGGAGGTCCCAGGAGGCCCCAGGATGCCCCCGCAACTCGGAGCTCTGAGACGCCGCGCTCGAGGTGGTCCGGCCCATTTCGCCTGAGACTTCCTCGCACCACGTTTCGCCAGAGACATCGTCGCAACTCTGGGGTCCGAGATGCCGCGCGCGAGGTGGTCCAGCCCGTTACGCTGGACACATCCTCGCAACTCTAGGCTCCGAGATGCCGTTCGGGATGAGGAGGTGGAGGAGGAGGAGGAGGAGGAGGAGGAGGAGGAGGAGGAGGAGGCATGTTTTAACATGCCATGCCAGCCCGCACTGGACGGGCACGCAATCGACCTTGGAAACCGCAGTGGGTCGAAAAACCCTATTTGGGGATACTGCACTCCGGCTATAATTTTGGGTGGAGGGCAAGGGGTGAAATCTGAAATGCCGTTTCGATGGATGTTCGAGGCTTGAATCTTCAAAAGGTGAGTCACAAGACGGATTGGTTTTCGAGGTGCATCAGCCCATATGGATCTCACCCTGAGCCCTCCACCTTATAAGAGAATGCTCAGGAAGGAGAAGGCCTTCTCGGAAGGCGGCGGGGCAAGACGGGGGTGATGACTACGGTCAAGCATCTGATTCAGAAACCGCCTCCTGGAAAGTTGGGCCGTCGTTTCTCAGCCAGCTTGTCGGAAAGCTGGCCCAGTTTCTTGAGCACGTTCGCCCTTCAGCGTCAACAACAGAAATTGGCCCAGGCTTGTTTCAAGAAACTTCCAGGAAGCTGGCCCACATTTCTCAAAGCATAGTTTTCTTAATCTCATGTTCGGCTGTCGGGGGGTGGACATCATGGCGAGGGCCACGATATCTCCCCAGAGTTCATGGCGCCTCTTCTGATGTCAAGACGTCCCCCGGCCCCCCATCCCTGGGCCGCGCACGTGCCGCCGGCCAGGATTCGCGCCGTCCCCGTCTTGGACACACCCCTCTCTTCCCAGACCCCCGACGTAATGATTTTTTCATTACGTCGACCCCAGAGTTCTCGACCCCTTCCCCAGGACCGGTTTGTCATCCTGAGTCGTTTTTTGACGCTCCCGAGGCCCGGTGAGGGCCCCCAGAGGCCGAAAATGGCGAAAAACCTCCCGTCATGATGTTTTCATCACTCGAGGGGGTCTGGGTCTTCTTGGACGCCCCCTGGAGAGGAAGTCCCCCGGGAGCTGCAGCAGCTGCGCGAGGGCCAGCGGGTGCTGTGCTACGACTCGCTGGGGGACTGCGTCGACTACGTGAGCGTGGAGCACCTGAGCCAGGATATTGGGCCGCCCGCGGTTCCTTTACAAGGCACCACCGCTCGAGACTGGCTTGGGCATGCTACCCAAAACGACCATACTCCTTCTCCTGTTACTTCCTCCTCCTCCTCCTCCTCCTCCTCCTCCTCCTCCTCCTCCTCCCGCTGCCTGCGGTTCTTTGAAAGGCACCACCGCTCGAAACTGGTTTAGCCTGGCATCGCTCGGACGTGTGCTTTTTTTCGTCGGCGAGGGCCATCGAGGAGCATCCTTGATCATTTGCCGAAAAAACCACGCACGAAACCGAAAAAAACACAGGGGATGGCCGTCCGAGCGATGGCCAGTTAGGCATACTGCATACTACCCAAAACGACCATACCCCGAACGACCATACCCAAAGCAACCGCTAAACTCGTCCAGGCATGCCCAAAAGCCTCAGTCTGGTCGGTACCGGCGTACACGTCTCACGCGCGCACAGCGATCCCACACACTCGCCTGACGCACGCAGGCCGAATTTGGCTTCCCAGAGTGTTGAAACAACCGAAGGGACTCCAAAGCCAGGATACTCGGTCCCTGGACTGGGTGAACGTGGCGCTCGAGGACGGGACGAACCTGAAGATGACGGCCGATCACCCCGTGCGCATCGCAGGGTCGGAGGGCATGCAGTCCATCCTGCGGGCCGCCAGCCTGCAGCCGGAGCGCCACAGCATCGTCGTCCACGGGGACGGCACGCGCCCCGTGCCGGTGCAGAGCGTCTCGCGCGTGGCGTGCCGCGCCGAGAGGCCGGGGGGGCGGGCGGCCGTCTCGGTGAGGCAGTCCGCGCGCTACTCCATCTTCGTCGCGGAGGGCCCGGGGAAGTGCCGCCTGATGGCCGTGGGCTCCGCCGACCTCGCCGCGCCGGCGAACCTGCTGCGCGTGGGCCAGAGCAACACCTTCCTGCACGCCTCCGAGGCTCAGGAGGAAAAGAAACACACAGACACAATTAATCGTCGATCCCCAGAAAAATATGGGAAAATATGGGAAGTGGTGGGGAAGACAGCAACCCAGAAAACATAGGAAAATATTGGGATTTGTTTTATTCGTGTCTACTTATTTGTGTGCCCCAGTTCCCCTTGAGAGGCGCCCTCGCGCGAGGCCTCCGCGCACTCCTGGCCGCCGAGCAAGCGGCGCTACCAGCACTACTCGGGCCTCCCCGGCCTCGGGCCGCCGCCCCGCGCGGGCGCCTCGGAGCACGCGCCCGGCGGCCAGGAGGAGCCGTCCTGGCAGTCCTCCAGGTCCAACACCTCCGAGCGCATCTCGTCGTCCAGCGGCTCGCTCCCCGACGACGCCGTGGAGTCCGTCATCCTGCCGCGGCCGCTGACGCGGCTGAGCGATCAGCTGAAGGCCGCGGCGGCGGGGGCGCCGAGCCTCGGCAGCGGCGGGCACTTCGACGGGGCCTGCAGGCGCGCGGGGGGTCGACCTCGGAGCGGTGCTCCCCGGCGACTCCGTGGGCCGTGGTCGTTTTTTGATCTCGCTCTCTGCGGCAGGGGCGGAGCGAAGAGACCGAACGACGCAGGACGAACACGAGACGACGACGGGGCACGGTGTTTGGGTGTGCGATGTTCCAGCCTGCTTCGGCCTTGGATCCCCCGAGAGGATGTCGAGCACCAGGAGAGTGCCGAAGTTTGCAGGGCTCTCGCGCGTTGGGCCCTGCGAGGCGATACTCGCTCGACACCGTTTCGACACTTTGCGCCGTGCTCGAACTTATTCCCGGGATGTGGTCCCTAAGTACGATGGGTGCAACATTCAGGGGGGGAAAACACACAGACACAATTCATCGTCGATTCCCCAGAAAAATATGGGAACATACGGGACTCGGGGGGGAAGACAGAAGCCCAGAAAGTATGGGAGCATCGGGGGAATCCTGAGATTTTTGCGTGTGTGTGTGTGTTTATTCGTGTGTCCCAGGGCCCCTCGAAGCATAAGTTTTGGTCGAGCCTTGTGCAGGCCGTGCACCTTCGGCCACCAGGGGCGCTGCCTCTTCGGCGTCTGGTGCACGAGCTGCCACCACCAGCACTTCAAGGTGCGCGGGCGCCTGGCACGCCTCAAGCCGGCCAAGGCGAGCAGCGCCCTGCCGGCCATCGGGCCGAAGTCCCCGGCCAAGCAGATGCTTCAGTGAGCCAGGCCGTGCCGGAGACGCGTCTGGAGTCAGGGGCCACATGCGAGCCCTACCCCCTAGCCCCCACGATTTCTGAGGGGGAGGGCGGGGTTCACTTCGTTCGGGAGCTCCCGAGCAAAGTGAACCCCACCCTCCCCCTCTGAGATCGTGGGGGGTGCCCTGACTCCGGATCCGCCCTACTTTTGGGAAATTCGTAAGCAGGGCTTGGAATTTCCGCCTTACTTTTCAAGCCCCGCTGACGCCAATTTCCGCCCTACTTTTCTGTTGCTGTTTCCGCACAATTTCTGTGAATTTCTGCCCTATTTGATGTTGGGTGCAGAAATTTCCGCCCTACTTGTTCGGCTTCTTATAGGTGGATTTCCGACGCAATTTTGAGTTGGGAAAAAAGCCAAAGTAGGGCGGGTCTGGAGTCAGGGTGGGGGCAGGGTTCGCACGTGGCCCCCTTATGGAGGGCACATTGGTTGCAGTGCGCGGCTGCTGCACGCGTCGCCCGGCTCGCCGCGGCGCGCTGCGGAGCCGCCCCGGAAGGGCACAGAGGATGGGCAGGCAGATCCTCGGCCCGAGGAGAGGAGGTGGAGGACGAGGAGGAGGAGGCGGAGGAGGAGGAGGAGGAGGAGGAGGAGGAGGTGGAGGAGGCGAAGGATGAGGAAGAGGAGGAGGAGGAGGAGGAGGAAGTGGGGGAAGGATGGAAAGGGGGTCTCGGATCTTGCCTTGCGGGCAGTCTCTGCAGTAGCGGCCCCGGAATGCGGACCCGCGCGCAGTTTGCAGGGGCACGCTTGCCAGGTAGATGTACCGATCAGGTTCCGTTCCAGCCAGAGGCTTCCCGGAGAGAGCTCGGAGCGAATCGCCTGCGATGAGGACTGTCCAGTGGAGGGGAGAGGGCAAGGCGGCTCGCCGTTCGCCCCCCCCACCACCCCTCAGCGCGACGCGGGCCGAATCCGAGCATCATGACTCCCTGGCGGCCCTCCTCCCATTCCCTCCCCCCATCCCGCCTCCCCCCTCCCGCCCCTTCCCGCCGACTTGTGGGCGTCGGGAAGCCCCGAGGAAGCTCCCCTCCTCGGACGGGGCCAGGACGAGGATGAGTCCGCTTCAGAGCGCTCCGGAACGCTCTCGCAGCGCTCCGGAACGCTCCGAGAAGGCCGCGGCGCTTGAGACATCCTCAGCCACCAGATCTCAGAGGCTCTTGTTAAGCTGGGCGTGTCCCTCTACAGGAGGAGTGATCAAACATAGTTGAACTAATAGGGAGGATTGTTTTACGATGTTGGGGCATAGTATGTTTAGAGTAGTCTTTCTTTTTCGTCCCAGATCCGGAACGCTCCGAGAAGGGAAGGAGGAGGAGGAGGAGCAGAGGAGGAGGAGGAGGAGGAGGAGGAGGAGGAGGAGCAGAAGGAGGAGGAGGAGGAGGAGGAGGAGGAGAGGAGGAGGA